GGGGGGGGGCATGTTGACATAGTATTACGTAGGTTAGAGAACAGCGTGCGGTGTTTTTAAAGCGCTTATAGAATCTAGATAATATTATTATCTCAAACTCTGATATTATTATGTGGTCTACTTTTTTTTTAAATGTAGGGGCTTTTACTCCCCCATTGAAACAATTTAAAATAATTAAAAAGGAGGTGGGCTTCGACTGTGCCTGTCAAGGTCAACTTGAGATGAGAGGGATACATCACGTCGTCCCAGCAGAAAAACAAAACAAAACACAGCCTACCCGATAAACGTTCCCCACTCACAGGAAACGAACTCATGCCTACTGCGAGCGACAGGGAACTTCTAAACCGCTACACCACAGATCTGGTGTGGTCTACTTATAGTATAGAGATACATGGTCGCTTTTAAGCACAAGGGAGCTATCCCGAAAAATGCAGTTTTGAGAAAATCGAAGGTAAAGTTTTTTGCCCCTTATTCAGTTTCTTTAAAAGACAAGTAGAGTTTTCTCGATAACCAAACAAATATACCTACTAATGAAACCAAACTTCTCCTATAGATAGGTAGAACAATGCCCACTTTTGGAGTAGGTCAAAATTTCTGGAAACCCTCGAAATCTGGGTTCGTCCGCTTGTCCTTAAAAGCGACTAATTGAGCGTTCACGAAAAGATTTCACTATCCGGACGTTGTCCTTTTCGAATAATAATCTGTCCTTATACTTTTAACAACAAAAGTAAGATCACTTCCTACTTCAACTTCTAAATTTTATGGTGCCAAACAAATGCGAAATTAATATGGGTGCCGTTATCAGCGGTATATTTTATGGAACATGTCGTTTGTTTGTTTTGTTTGTTTGTTGGGGGGGGCGCAAAATGACAAAGAGATGCATTTTTAGTTTTAATGAGAATTTTGTGGCACTTAGTATCTATAACATAAATAAAAAATAAAAGTGCCGAAGATAAGAGGTGTTACGAGAGAGAAACATACAGGGAACGGAGCAAAAAATTCATAGCATAGTTCGCGAAAAAACCCACAACAAAAACAACAAAAAGAAAAAGAAAAAGAAAGAAAAAAACCCCAACCCAAAACAGAGCGAAAGTTTAAAAATCAAATGACGAAATAGATAAAACCAACAAATTACAGATTGCAAACTCACGTCAAAATCCTCTAAGGTCTGAGATCGCGACAATGTCTGAGGCAAAGTTTCAGTAGATTATATAAGTGTTGGTGTCAGTACCGTACAACACCACAGTCACAGTGCGGTGGCAACACACATACGCACTCACGTCATTCACGCACAAACATACACACACACACGCACGCACATATGCACACACACACACA